GCAGGCTTCTCTTCTGTAAACCGTCAGCAATATCATCAGTACGATCGATGTCATCATTGGTCCGTACGCCTTTCTTGATGGTCTGGACCGTTTCTGCCCTTCTGTCTGAAATAGGTCGAAACCTTTTTCTAATTATTCGTTACGATAAGATCTAGATTATCCCTAACTTTAAGATTATATTATAGCTATCTGCACCTTATTTCTATAAAGATAAGCTAGTTTCACAAAGTGTACACAAACAGGTTGTTCCACTCTGTTTAAAAACAACTAACCATCAATAGCCTTTTTCCCCGCCCCAAAGAGCGAGACGATCATGATTCTGACTGCCAGAAATCAGGCATAGTGTGCAAAATCAATTGCACACAGTGTAATTTTGTGTACTGTAGCCAAACAGAAAGATCATTGAAGACCCGAATTGCGGAGCACAGAAAGGCAGTGGCAGGTTCTGACCAAAACTCCAAAGTTGCAAGTCATGTCCACCATTTCAACCGCAGCATGAACTTTGAAAACGTCAAGGTCGTTGGTTTCGAAGCTAATTACCACGAGCGACTTTTCCTCGAAGCCCGGCACTCTACTCTGGACCGGAACTCTGGGAACGATCATATCCTACTTCCAGAAGCCTACAAAGGCATCGCAAGGGCATGAATTACATGGTCACGCGCGCAAGCTTCGCGTTACGTTACTTTAAATAGCGTATTACAACGAACTTCGCTTTCATATCACTGATGAAGGCTTAAGCATTAGCCGAAACATCTGTTGAAAAATATCAAGAGTCAGTGGCAAACCTTTTTCCATAGAACTTAGATTGATTCAACGTTCGTTGAAACTTTATATCAGGTATACTTGTTAATGTCGTCACTAGTGACGACAACGATGTTGATATGCGGATCCTGATGACGATGGCAGCATATCCACTGTTCTTTTTATCTCCTTTAGGGCTTTGTGTGCGCAGTAGTCCTGACATAACGAATTACGACAAGTATGGTTCATCAGACAAGTGTTTTGAGGACATAAGTTCAACTCAAACGTGTTCCAGTGGTTCAAAATTGTGTGGAGGCCGGGATACGGAGGCCAACTATGTGTACAGGATAACCTTTCCAGGTTAGTTAAGATTTCTTGATTCATACTTTGCATCATATGACGCATAAAATAAAGTCCTTGCGTGAAGCCTTACTCCTAAACCAATTCTGGTGTCCAGCAAGGTCTTAATTATTTATCCCATTACGAGTTTGACGAATTCATCTTATCAGAGAATATTTGGCGTATTTGGGATGCAACAAATACCGGTTCACGACCTACATTTTAGATATTATATCTTCCTGCTGGCGTTGATTGGTTTAGCAAATTGAGGTCTACGAAAGCTATGTCTTAACCCCATTCAGACATGGGACTGGTAGGTGCCCACACCGACTCAAACCAAACCTTTGGTGACTTTTGCAATATCTAAGTTAAAGCTGCCTAACTTTGCGACTTTTTCTGAAATTTATCTAGAAAAGTTAAGTATAAGATTTCCCTGTGTAAGGAACTTGATGTTTCTATATATTTTTCTTTGCAACCCTAATTTGACAGTCAATCTTCTTGTTTTCAGTGACAAGCCTTGTGTAACTTTGACGAATTTTTTTTCTACATTTTAGAACTCTACAGCATCTTTATTGATTTGGATTAGTTTTGTGTTATTGTTGGCGATCACACGTCATGTTGTTACTTCAAATGAAACAGTTTTGAACGTACTATATACGATCCGAGTTTCTTTATCATTGCCTATAGTAAATATTCCTAGCGCTACGCAGCTGGATCACAAGGAAATCCAAATAGAGAAGCCAGGTCTGAATAGGGCCTAATGTGTATTTGTATGCACACTGAAATATAGGCTTGTGTTTATACGGATAAATCGAGTCACTTGAAGGATATCGGAGACAGCTGACTCACGTTTTACTAAGACTTCATTTAAGATAAATATTATGATATTTTACGATTTGATCTTCAATAAATTAAGGTTTAGCGTTTTTATATGTAACATTTCGAGGCTATGATTGATTATTAATATATTCTAAATGTCCAAGTGGTGAAGTTTTGGAATTTCATAAGTTTGTTACGCTAAACAAAAGTTAATAGGGCTGTAGGGAGAATTCCGTCGTTGTTTCAGTATTTCATAGCTTCATGACGTCATGTCTATTTGACAGGTGCTGAAGGAGAGTCGACTGGCAGTGGATCGGCTCAGGACGAAGCAGAAGACCACAGGCATCATTGAAACGCCCATTTAGCCAAATACCAAATCATACAGGAATGGAAACGAACTGCGTAAAGGACCTCATCATTAATAAACGATTTAGAGACTTAAATTCGATATTTCGAGGTTAAACGGCTAAGGGGGTAATTGTAAGACAGTTGAAATTGTCATGACGTAAGGGATTGCAAAACGCTAAGGCATAACCAAGGGAAATGAAGTTGACGAAATGCGTTGTTTTCCGTAGCTCTTTAGACATTTCAGATCATATATGTCATAGGGTTTGCATTGTAGACTGCATAGAATAGAAAATAACTGTAATTAAAAGAAGGTCCTGAAAAACTATATTCTCAAACTCATTCAGTCATGTAGGAGGAAAATGAAACAAACTGCATTTAGATCACGTGGACGATCCTTGATACCCCTGTAAAGAACAGAATGATTACATGCCAGTTTGGGAACAAACAAGTGAATTGGGGTTTACAAACAAACGTATTAGAGCACTCGTTATTCAGCAGAAAAGCAAAAGCGCTCCATGAATAATGGCGTATTTTTGTAAGCGCTTTCAGTACTAAGATTCCAAGATAAACTATTCGTTACACGTGACATTTAAAAAACCAAGAGCATTTGGTTTCTTTCTCATTACAAACCACGTGATATTCTCTAGAAAATTGTTATTTTATCCGCGTAAAAATTATTCATTCAAATACACAAAACTGTTTGAAAATTTGAAGGCAAGAATTCTCATCTCATAGTCTTCAATGGGAGTACAAACCACTCAAGCCAAAAGGTCTTTTGATCATTCGACGCACACTGGCTCTTTGCTACTTCTTGAGAGCGACCTTCCCACTATCATGGATTATCACTCACGAGGTTCGCCAAAGTTGCCATATCAGTGGATATGTATTGGTAGTGTGTCAGGTTTAGATGTAATATATCAAACACGAAAGACCGTGTTTGACCACATTTCCAAACATCGAGAAGAGAGTTCAAAATTCGACGCGTAGCGGAGTATTTTTGACGAAATTCGAGGTGTTTGGAAATGTGGTCAAACCCTGTCTTGAGTGTTTGATATATCTTCTCAATTGTAACTAAAACTAAGGAGAAAACGGAGAAATGAAATCCTAAAAATCTATGCTAAATAAGAAAAGATATCCAAACACTGTCTCTGTCATAATTTACTTTGTTTAAACTTGATGAATTATGAATGAGTTTGAGAAGCTCAGATCTACAAATAAGAAAGACCCTACCACCAATCCCCTCGCGCCATACACAATACATAGAAAACTGAACTGAAAAAGAAAGTCACTTGCAATTGAATAACAATAATAATGATAATGATAATGACAGTGATAATGATAATGATAATGGTAATGGTAATGGTAATGGTAATGGTAATGGTAATGATAATGATAGTGATAGTGATAGTGATTGTGTGAACGTATAACATAACATTACTTTAAAATACCTCGTTGGATAAAAACGCAGAACGATAATAATAATAATAATAATAATAATAATAATAATTCAGAAATAGAATACATACATAAATTTAAAAGCTTCTTTAAGCAAGGATCAAAATTAAAAACTTTCCACAAGAAAAGATTTTTGATTGCAAAGTGTTAACCAGGGAAGAAAACAAAATTTCTGTCATTTAAAAAGTACAAAAATACCTCATGGTTATTGTTAGATTACAATTTTCAAACTCCAGAAATCAATAGACCGCACTTTATACCGAGACTCTTGTGCTTTCCCTGTCCACTCCTTCTTAAAGTCGTTTCTTAACCCATTAAATCTTTAGGATTTTGTATCGCTAGATGTTCATAAATCGATATCATTTTTGTTATTCGGAGTTTTACGACTTCTCACTCATTCACGAGAAAAATCAAATTTCTGATTGTTTATCCTTAGATATAACTGTCCAAGTAAGGTTCAGCCAGGGAAAAAAGGTAAATTGCTTCTTTTCCAATGGAAAACTTGCAGCGAAGGTGAAACACAGGTACTTAACAAATAAGCCAGACATGAGTAATTCCAACGTTAAAGTAACTAGACTCAGACACGAAAACAAAAAATAGAAATGGTATGGATAGTGGTTTACTAAAACGTTTCCATGAAACAGAACTGGTTAATCGTGTAATCGAGCTTAATGCTTCACATCACGAAAAATAAACTTTAAGTTGAGTTTTTTTCCCTATAGTTTGGCAGAACGTATGTGATAACCTTGTGAAGCTTAATGCGACAATGCTTGCATCGTGGCTTCGCTATCCCTGCAGGGTGATTTTACTCCAGGAAGCCAGACGTGACTAATGGTGACTGTTATCGCTGTTAACGTGCGATAATGAAACACCCAACATTTACCAAGAAATTAAATTTAAGAGATGAGCTTTAAAACAACGACAGATATTTAACGACAAGAATAGTTATGACGGTCATTATGAATCGCTTAATGAGATGATAAAAATTTTGTTGTTTTCCCTATTGCGTTCGATCAGTAATTAATATAATTGCACATTATAAAACAGAATAAAGATCAAGATATTCAGTTCTCTACGAGGTGATTACCATAACTTCCGTTTTCACGTTACCTAGGAAAATGCTTTTCTAGCTTAGTTTGAACGTTCCGTGTTACAATGACTGATAAAAATGTTCCTTTTAGTAAAATGAAAGACTTAGATCAGCCTGTTGGAACTCATTGTCCAATAACTGAAAACTCACTCGCCTCTGATAAGCTGACAAATCAGGTGGGCAGTAGCCAACGAAACGTTTGGCTGATATGATCGAAATAAGGCTGTGATTACAATCATTTGAATTAAAAAACAAAAGAAAGGAAACAAAGGAACACGCCCTCGTATCAACGCAAAACGTGACAAGAAGAGAAAGGGAGATACGTTGGAAACTTCATTGCGCGTCTTCCTTAGCAAGGCTCGTCTGCTGTTTTTATTGCACAGTGATACTTCTTAGAACTCTTAACTCAAAAGCTCATGACTACATACTGTACCTAATAAAACGTCATGCCAAACAAATTTCCTTGAATTGTGAAATACTCCATGGAATCATCTGCATGACTGTTAAGTCAGGCCTTCTGTGCGTAGCAGGGCAAACAGCGGTTCAGGGCAATATGAGTTAACGATTCTCTTTACTCGTAGCAACAAGGAAAATAGATTAAGTCTGCTGTTAACGAGTGAAACGTGTTGGGCTCTCTGAAGTAAAAACCTAGAGTTTTGCCGAAGTTAATCTCGCTCAGTTTGGCTGACTGTACTTGTCGCTTCTTCATGTTAATTCGATTTATTATTACTCGGTTATTGGTCTAACTACCTGGCCTTGTGTAGTTTTGCTTTTACTCCACTTAGCAATTATACCAATGTTTGTTACCTCTAAACGTGTTAAGAACACAAAGTGATAGCTGATGAAAAATATTATCTAAGGCAATGAAAGAGCTACTATTGACCGAAAGATTATGAATTAAGATATGACCTTCGTATTGACAACAGATATTTTTACAACCGGAATAACTATAAACGTTATCACCAGACATAATGGCTTCAGACATAATGGTTTTAGGGGGCCCTTTGAAACTCTCTTCCGACTATCATATAATAATATAAATTCTACGTACATTAGATCCGAAATCCATAATGCTCAACTTTCAGAATCAACAAGCAGGACCTTATATCCATGAATTAGCAGCTTCCGTAATTGCCAACTGGAGTGATAACGAGGCAAACATGTCAGCGACGTTCCAGCATTCTAACTTAGATAAAAATTTAAAGGTTTCTCGTTTGTTCTCTGCAAATATTTCTGCAATCATCCAAACTTAAATGACCGCGTAAAATAATGGCGAGTGAATATGTGTGGTAAAATCCCTCCCACGATTACGATAATACTTGTGATAATGAATTCGTATTTCAAAAATGTTGCTGATAAAAATCACTTTTTCCTTACACTATTCTGTATAAATATGCCCGATCTTTGTTTCTTTCTCAGTCAGCGCAACTGCTTCTTCCTTGGGGATAAACGTAAGTTACCTTAAGTCCTTTATAATCCTCTTACACGAGCAGGCTGGTTAGACCAAGCTATCTGAGACGATATTATGACACGCAACAGGTTTAAAAATTGAATTGCATCTAAATAACTGCTTTAAGTTATAGAAAAAGTTAAGCAAAATGCATCATAGAGGTAAATGGGTTGCAACAATCCGACCAAGCTTAGATTGAGACAATTGGCGTTGATTTACTCTTGATCTTTTAACTGTTGTGGCGCGTACAGATATAAAGATTAACTCTCTATGAACTGAGCGATCTTTGCCTTTTCTAGATCTGTATATAGCGGAACTTCCATCAGTAGACGAATATTTCACTATCATTTTTAAGCCTGCACCAGTTTGAGTGAAAAAAAAAAAGAAAAAAAAATATATAGGTCAGTTGGGATAACCAATATCACACAACAAAGACAACAAACGACAAATCGCTTTTCCTGTTCAATAGCTTTTCATTTGTCATTCATTCGTCGCGCCCCTTTTTATATAGATACGGGATAGGTTGTGAAGCGGCAAGGCTACCGACACGTATAGAGCTGTTTGCTTTAAATTATTTTCCTACAGGAGGTGAAACACAGCTGAAAATGAGCCCAATAACCACGTTGTTGTTGTTGGCACTTGTCTGTGAGTTGATTCAGTTTCTAATTAACGTTACTTTATTTAAACCTTCAGTTATTTGTTTTTGAATAACCGGGACATTACAACCTGGTAACTCGTTTTTCTCAAGGGTTAACTATCCGTGTGGTTGTGGGAAGGGTGGGCATCCTTGGGTACTCCTGCGAATGACTAAAATCCCATCCAGGAGAGAATAAATTAAATAATATAAATAAAATGCTTTACTTGCAAGTGAATATGAAAGATCATGTCTTCATGTGCTCCTCTTAGTTATGTTAATGTACAAAGAATGAAAACTGTTTTATTTCCGAATCAACTTGGGGATGAAGTTTGATTTCGTTTTTCGTTGTTTCGAAGCGAACAGAAACTTCCTTTCCAAACCCATTGGTGATGACACTGCTCACTGACAATGCTTTGAGTTGTACTTTTTATCGTACTCACTGGTATTATTAAAACATGTAAATTTAATATGTGTTTTTATTAAGGTGGCTCCATACAATATGTGACTGGAAATCTCTGTCGTGGAGAAAGGTGTGATGTCGACTTCAAAACAATAGGATGCTACAAAGACACGGTATGAACATTACACGTGAATGCTTGTTACATGACAATATGTACGTTTTCAGCTTAAATAATTAAATTTATACAAAGCTTTGCAGAAAAATTTCAAAAGACACAAGGTTGGGCTGTAACGAGATAAAAGATCTATACACCGAATGCAAATATGGCGGACCGCTCGGTTGGCGCCCGGGACGAGTCGCATGCAAGCGAGGCTAGTCAGGCTTTGTTGTTTTGTTTTGACAATGCTTCCCCAGAAAAGTCTTGCTTCGTCGTCGATCTGGTCTGTCTTTTTTTTCGCCCTTCCTATAAGTTGTTGTGTTCCTGAATGCCACCAGAACGAATTGCTGGTTTTCAGTGTCACGCAATTCAAAATAGATCAAAATAGAAATCAAA